ACCTTTTCCTCAAAATATGCTATAGGGGTCTTTAAAAATATTGCTTCTTAGTAAATAAACAATATTACATTTAATTTATAATTTATATATATTTTTTTGATTATTTCTTAATTGATTTTTTGATAATAATTTTCCAAATCATGGTACAAATAATTAAATTTTTGAAGAAATTCTCAGTTTCACTTTGCAGCATTTCTGCAAATTTCAAGGTACTTGTTAAAATTACTATTTTTCAAACCTTATGCAAGTTGCCATGGAAACCATGACACATAGCAACCAAAACTCTAGCTCAGAAACTTTAATGAGATTCTCTGACTATGAATACCACTGTTCCTAAAAGTAGTTTGAGTGGTAACAGAGAGTTCTTTTATATAATTTTTAGTATAAAAATTACGGAAGCGTATTATGGCCACTTGGACACTGTTTTGTTTTTCCATACTTTAATCTGTAAATTGTACAGATTAAAATGTAAATTTTAAAGATTAATTTGTAAAATTTACAGATTAATGTGTAAATTTTAGAGATTTAAGTATAAATTTTACACATTAGGCCATATAAAATTAATCTTTAGATTCTCATCCCCGCCCGCCCCTCTCAAAATGTCCCGCCCAGATGATTTTGAGTATTTTCATGTATTTTTATTCAGTAAGAATTTTTTAGTCCCGTCTGTAAAAGTCGCGTGTCGCTATTTATAGCAAAAACACCATGTGAAGAATGGAGAAAAATCGGCAATAAAAGCAGTTTAAATGTGTAAGGAAAAGATAATTTGTCAGTATATAGAAGGCAAAGAAGAAAAAATAGCATAAACACATATAGATACCATCACTGGCAGGAGCAAGTATGTAGAGAGATTGTAACTAAGTAAAAATTTGTCAAGTTATATATAACGATCTCCAGCTGTGTGACTTTGCTTTGAAATAAAAAAAATCTACACTACACAGTAAGAGAAGGCCTAGATTTTTGTACAATAATTATTAGAACATTTATATAGATTTTGCAAAATAAAAGTCACGCATACACAATTTATTGGTATCCCCACCTCATTTTGTAAAACCGATATAATGTGTATTTGATAATTTGTTAATTAACAATAAATATTTAACTTTTAAAGCAAAAATTTTCTTTAAACATTTAAAAGAATATGAAAAAAATTATATATTCATATTTGCACATTGATATATATGAAAATTTTACTAAAGATTAATTTTACCTGGCCTTAAAATGAAAATTTTACAGATTAAAGTATAAAAGATTATAAATATGTCAAAATGCCACTTATTTTCTTCTTTAAAAAAATGGCTTGTAGATTGATATATACAACATTTAGAAACGTAAAAATGTATGATTAAAAGAAACTGCCTACCAAGTTCCAAAGATTGATTGATTTGGCTATGGCGTAATCTGTTAAGAGATTTTTGCGAACATAGATTTTTTTTAGAACATAGTACATAAAATTTTTATACCCGCACTATTTTAAGAAAGTGATGGTACATTGAAGTTACAGATATCCTGGTTATTTCGTCCATCCGTCACAATATATTTTCTTCTTCGAACTACTCAGTAGAATATTCATCTTCAATAATCAATAAATAGTGCCATGATTATTTTTAATAGGGTTTCGGAAACTTCAACTTTACCTAGGGGGTCAAGATGGAAGTTCGAGCAACAATTTATCCACGAAATCTGCTTCGCAGAACATTTCCTATCTTTTTCGTTGTCGCCAATTCATCTTTTGGAATGTGATTGATGGTGTCGTGTTCTTGTGGAATACAGTTTTTGGTATTTGCTTTTTCTCCTTTCATTATACTGAACTGACGACGAATTTTTCCTTCATTCTCCGATCATGACAAGGAACACACGGCGGGTGTGACCGGTAGGCAGGGGAAGCTGACTCCTCCATAGCACCTGATCCCACCTCTGATGTTTTGTGTGCAGTAGACGTACAATAAGTTTTGTGAGTGTTAATTTTGACTCAAGGAGCCAACTTTGTTCAAAAAGGAAGATTTTTGAATGCTTGTTTCTAATTTTGTGCCAGTCTACAATAAGAACAGTATAAAAGATGGAATTTGAGAAACTATAGCTAATTATGGCAGGGAAGTAGACGATTTATAATTATTTGTTTTAACAAGTGTATTGGATTGTTAAAGGTGGGAAATAAAACAAAGATTTACAGTAAATTCTCATTCCTTTTTATTAGTGAAACAAATATAATACATATTTTTTTTTCTTAATTCTCACTTTTGCTTCCTGGAAAATATTGCTTTAATTGCGACTTTTCTGGCCCTCTCATGGTAAATGAAGCTGTGATTTCTTGATAATGTCATTAAAGGATCTAATTTTTTCGATCCTTTATCCGAGCGTGTTCCCGTCCAGGGTTAAAACCGATTTTACCCTGGCATTTTGCAGAAGAATTTGTCTTTCAGTTTTCCTAATTCATCACACGTAAACGCTGAAATCCTTGGCAGGGCTGCTGATTTTGATGGCTATCTCTCTATGACTCCCACCCTGTGTGTGCGTGAGGAAAGATCGGGCTTCACCAACCAAGGCCAGCGGAAACGTAGGACTGCAGCATGCTTATGCCGAGAGCAAAAACTTACGAACTAAACCAAACTGCATTATGTGTAGATCTACGACAGTTTCGATTCATTTAAATTGTCTATAATTGAAGTATAGAGTATTAGACATGTGTAAATAATTAAAAGAATTTTACACCAATGAAATATCATATGAGGACAAGCTATATCATCTGTTACATACATTTTAAAAATACACATCAAACAAACGGAAATTACATACATGTTCTTTTAAAAACATGCTCAGTTTTTGAATGATGCCATGCAATATCATTCGGCTCGTATCTTTAGAAAAAAAACCTGTCAACATCGCAGGTTTAAACAAAAACTAAATCTGATAAAGTATTTTAAAAAGTAAACAACGCCTTATAAATTCAGGCTTCGATTATATAAAATTTTACTTTAAAATATGTTTAATTAGCGTATGTTTATACATATCGAATAATGACTTTCACGTTTCAAACAAACATTTAGAGAAACAAATCATTTTTATCAAAATCAAAATTTTGACTTGGAAATAAATTACTAGTATAGGGCTCTAAGCATACAACCATTCGCAAATTCACTTTTGACTCGAGACAATGTTGGACAAATAACACGGAGAAAGTAAATACACTATACACATGTATATCTGAATACTTAATCTCCGTGCTACTTAGTAGCACTGGCCCCTCTTAGACGACCCATGAGGTCGCATATATTAGACTGTCAGGCCCCATACGGAAGCTGCACGTACAGCACATTTAAATCTACGCTAAAGAAAAGAGTGCCAATTGTTATTCGTCAAAAATCACACGCGCTTGATATAAGAAAATGTAGGTATTTGAAGACTTTTTAAAGCAAATGAAAGTTATCGGAAAAGAATTTTGATTTTTTAAAGCTTATGGGGATGTTTGTTTTTTTTTCCCCAGGGAGCTTCATATTGAAAGTCTCGGAAAATTGCAAACATTGCAATACTATGTATACAACATAATGAAAGGTTCTAGTTTATCATAAAAGTTGAAAAAAAATCCAAGACCCAATTATTTTAGAATGACGAGACAATACGAACAGGGTGTAACGTTATGTGACATGTATGTTAATCTTATCACGTTGTAGTAATTTTAACTATTTATAAGAATACGAAGTTCGCGGAAATGTTCTTTTATAAGCGCGCTATTTGCCCGAATCTAGTAAAACTCTGTAAACAAAAACTACAAGTAATTTCCAATAAATACAAAGATTTTGTGTTTTCCGATGATCATTAGAAAATATACAGCTTCATTATTTAAATGAAATATTCTTCACGAAGCATGCTACGTCTTCGCACGCTTACTTTACATAGACATTTCGTACATCCGCCAGTTTTAAAGATAATTCAATGACCCTGGTTGTTAAATTCTGAGATACATGTACGCCTTCACATTTAAAGAAAAAGCCCCCCCCCCCCAAAAGACGAGGTACGATTTTAAAAATCTTCAAAAGTAATAATATTCGGAAATATTTAAGCATGTATCGACTTCATTTGGTGCTTATGAGCCGAGAACCAAAAGAGAATATCTTGCAAAAGTCACGTCGCTACCTGACCCACCCCGCGCACGTACGTGTATATCAGAATGGTTTCTCAAGATATCGCTGCACCCCCCCCCCCCAAAAAAAAAATCACAACTAATAATATTTTTCTGTAGACACGCTCGAGATATCTTAATATTGTTCCTTTCACAAACATAAAAAATGAAACATTATTCATTCTAACTCACCATATAGTAATTTAAATATAAAATGCAGTGTGCGCATTCTCCGTAATTTTGTGGTGAAAACGTACACATGTGGTTATTTTTTTCGTGGTGATTTTTCAAACATTTTTTTTCAGTATTTCATAATTTTATGTACAATTTATATTTATTTTCGCTCATTATTTCAAATATTATCATGAAAATCATGAAATATGTCTAACAATTTCTTTTGAACAAATAAATTTAATTTCAAAAATTCGCGATGGTGAAATTAAGACTTCTTTGCTAGTAGAGTAACTATTTCTTTTATCTTGAAAATGACAAGATAAAACTATTTTAACTGAATCCCGGACTGATTTTTCTCCATAATTTCAGGGGATTTCCAGTTGTTTTATTTTCGTAGAATGGGCGTTCCGAGGAGCTGCGCATTGATTAGACGGCACTTCCCTCGAATAGAGAAGACGAATTATTAATACTATAGTTAATTTGTATGAATGGTAAATATTGTAGAGATGACTTATTGATAACCGTGAAGCACGTGACCAATGGAGATACACACCTTCGATAATTTGCTGCAACATCGTAGGTATATATTCTTATATAAATTGAAAACGATGGGAAATCGAATCAGAAAGACACGCATTTTTGTGTCTTTAAATCGTCTTATATTTACTTTAAAAGTTCAGAAAGTTTCTCTAAGGATTTCACCGTTACAAAATTTGGACAAATTAACGCATTGTCACGGATAAGTTGGCTGAATTTATCCGCGTTAGTGACCAGCATTACAATTGACATACCCGTGGCACCATAAATAAAGAAGAATATGCACAATCAACATACAGTTACTGTCCACTATTTGAAGAAGGTAAGAGTTTTATTCTTATTCAATATGTATGAAAGTTATTCAAAAATTATTTTCAAATGAAAGTTATTCAAAAATTATTTTCAAATTTAAATCTTATTCTAAAAAATAACCATAAAGGGAAAACGCATTAAAAATCTATGAAAATACATTTGTAGAGAAGAATTAAGCATTCTTACAACTTTCAAGGGTTGGAATTTATTGTAAAGAGATAATTTAAATGGTTGAATAAATAGTAGGAAAATCGCTTATCTGCACATTGAAAGTTTGGGATTTTTTTCATCAATGAAAAACGTTGACAGGTGGAAAGTTGCAATTATCGTGTTTTTATCAATGAAATACATTGACAGCTGGATCATTCATTTTCCTGTGTCTAGACTGATCTGGAATTTAAACAATGCATTTCAACTGCGGATATTTTTTTTTATATAAATCAGAAAAAATTGAAAATTCGCAGGCTTCCCTTAGTTTTGTCCGCAAGAAAAAGTTGTTTTCCAAATTGTTAAAAATAATCTCCGTGCTGGTATGTGATTTCATTTCACATCTGAAGACAAACACCGATCAATCTTAAGTAAAAACTTTCCAAGGTCAGTTTAAAACATTAACCCAATTCGCTGCCAATTATAAGTAATAAAGCAGGTGGAATTTTAAGGTCATTCAAATGAAATAGGTATAAAAATTACTTTTCAAACATGGCACAGTAAGAAACATGAATTTTTGAGTGGCATTGATTTTTGTTACGGAAATTTGGTTTGGATCTGGAGCCAGACGGAAGAGCCGTATTGGCATTGCTGCATGTAGGTTGGTAGGTTACAAGGGTCAGTTACGGAAGATGTAAGGTGCGTTTATTTACAAAGAATTACGAGTAATCTAAAACACTACTCATCACTCCAGTGGAAAGCTGTTTTGCAACTGACCGAATTCTGATAGAGTAGCACAGGGTGTTGTAGTGTAATAAACTTAAACAAGTGGATTGCATTGTTGAACGTGCGAAGTTTTTTTTTTAAAGAAATAATGTGGAAAAATTTGACAAAAAGTGTTAGCAATGTTTTATGTCATTGCTGAATAGGAACACTTACATGTAAAACGATTTAATTTGTTTTCTAGGAATGTAAAAATGTTTCACATTCAAAAGGGTCATTGATATTTTAGATTTTGAGGGGGAAGTCTTTTTTAAAAGATGGATGTCAATTCATTAACACTTGAGCCCGGTAACTTACATGAAAATAACGATTTCCTTTTTTTAAACACTATTATTGATACCACTAAATACTGATCAAAGGCCACCAAAATCAATTTCTTTTGTATTTTAACATCACAATTACATCTTTGACGAGTATTCTCTAAATGCGTCTAATCCTGTTCCAAAATAGAAAACACTGATTTTACGGAACCTTATCGTGAGTTGGGCTTTTTTCATTCATTTATCCGTTTGGGAGCTTAATATTCATCAAATTCTCCTACGTTCACCGAATTTATTGGCCCACTGACACTCAATCAGCGCCGTAAGGGACACGGTGTTCAATTTTTTGGTATTTGTCCAGAAATATCCAAAGCGATGAACGATTTAGTAATGCTTGTGAAGATTAGCAACTGTCAATAAAATATTTGATTTTATCTTCCCAAAGTGCAACTACAAGTGTCACGAAAGATAACTCTTATCACATATTTCAGCATCATTTACGAACATTACCTGTATATTAATTGTTGTCTCCCGTAATTAAAGGTACTTTAAATATGTTTATATTATTTGTTTTTTTTTTTTTATTTTAGCATACCGTTGTAAACATGAAGGACCTGATTGATAGTACAGTCAAATGGAAATGGCTAACCTTTCTATTTTCACTTTCCACATTCATCTTCATGTTTTTGTGCGTTTCAATATGGATAATCAAAGATCAAGAAATTGAAACATTTAGTGCTAATGCTGGAACCTGCGCCGCTACAGAGTTAGAAGAGAGGGGAGAGACTGATAGCGAAAAAATGAATAGAATACACGGAAGTATTCTGGAGACATTAACAAGAGAGGAAATTAATTTAGTGGTTGACTATCTTCACGACAAAATGAATCTAAAGCATCCCAAAGAAGCAAAAATTGATCAAAGCTTCATACATGCCATAGAAGTTCATACTCCCAAAAAGAAGGAAGTGCTAGATTTTTGGGATAATAACGGTCCTAAACCTAAGAGGGAGGCTAAAGTGTTCATAATGCATGGAGACCTTAGTCCGCCATTCATAGGAGAATATATAGTTGGTCCTTTACCGAATATAACTTACGCTGAAATAATAAACACGACTGCAAGGACAACGAAAGTCCCTTATATTTATCGGCCATTTTCCAGTTTTGAGTTTATGGCGATATACAGGCACGTGATAGCAAGAGTAGCGAGGGAGGCTCATCAAGTGCTGGTAGAAAGTTATAATGCAACTCCTTTTAATTGTGGTAATCAGTGTTTGCGGTTTTCTATGACACCAATATCCAGCGGTTATCTTCCGGAAGGAACAAGGAAGTCATGGTTCTGGTTTGCACATAACGTTGAGTTCTACACGCTGCACCCGCTTGATTTTCAGTTTTTGGTAGACATGACCTCGCAAGACCCCAAGGAGTGGAGAATTTTAGATGTATGGTATGCAAATCAGCTATTTGAATCATTATCTGTATTTTTAAAGGCTTACACCTGTGAGCAAATCAACAAGACAAGAATTCCATTCCCAACAGGAGAAGAGAGAACTTTTAGTTCATTGGAAATGCGCGAGAATCAGTTTCCTGAAAATGGAAGGCGACCGCCCCGCCAATTTTACCCAGATGGACCTCGATTTGAAATAAATAAGAATACAATTAAATATTTGACTTGGGACTTTAAATTTAAAATGTCGACAACAAACGGACTGCAACTTTTTGACATTAAATTCGACTCGGAGAGAATTATATACGAATTAAGCATGCAGGAAGTGACAGTCTTGTATTCAGGTTTCAGCCCTACAAACCGGATGTTGTATTATGCCGACAGCGCTGGGTTATTTGGAACCCGTTCCAGAGGATTAGTTCCGAGTGTAGATTGTCCCGAGAATGCACGGTTTATTGACTCTTATCTCTACTCTGCCAATGAGGATGGTCACCGAACGTATGAAAATGCTTTTTGCGTATTTGAGCACAATTCAAACTATCCTTTGCGGCGTCATAGAGCTTATGGTCGGTCTGGGGCATTTTACGGCGGTTTAGTTAACACAGTCCTCGTTGTTAGAACAATTATGAGTGTTATAAATTACGATTACGTGTTTGACTATATGTTCTATCAAAATGGAATGGTTGAGATACGGGTATTACTTACTGGTTACCTGGGAACTTCATTTTATGTTCCTCAAGAAGAGCCTTACGGCGCGCATGTGCGAAAGACAGTCATTGCAGGACTTCATAACCATCTTTTCAACTTCAAAGTTGACCTCGACATAAAAGGGACAAAAAATATATTTGAAACCCTTGATATTAAAATGGAAAACAAAACGGATCCGTGGTATGGTCATCATCATATGCAGAATGCATACAGCAGAAATATCCGGCAAACTGAAAAAGAGGCAGCATACAAATATAATTTTTCAACTCCGAAATACTTGTTAGTTTCTAATAGACGGAAACATACGCCTCAAAATGTTAGACGCTCCTACAGAATCAAACCGTCTGGAATGTCAAAACTTCTCCTTCCTGAAAACTATGGCTTCAGTCGCTCCATATCATGGGCCCGTTACCAAGTGGCAATCACCAAGCAGAAAGATTGGGAAGAGTCTAGCAGTTCCATTTTCACCATGTGGGATGCCAAACAACCTGTGGTCAATTTCCAGTCGTACATCGACGACAACGATAGCATTGTCGATGAGGTACGTTACTACTTCATGCTAGCATATGTGTTAATATAAATATTCAATTCTTAATTGTTTTTAGCATAAACATCTTTGTAAAGATGTTTACTAAGAAATCACATGAAGTAGAAAATAATAATCGGTCATTCGTTTTTACTGATTTTGTTTTGTATATGTAGTGTTCTATGCTTTGTTTTTAATAGGATTTGGTAGCCTGGGTAACATTAGGAACCCAACACTTGCCACAGACAGAAAATCTTCCAAACACTCTCACGGCAGGTGGCGCTTTGTCTCTGTTTTTGAGTCCATTTAATTACTTTGACGAAGATCCGTCAATGAGATCCAAGGACTCGGTACGAATTACACCAAAGGACCCCAAACGTCCGACAGAGGGGGCTAACGTACAAAGACATCACAGATACTCTCATCACTGCAGCCCGATCCCTAATTACCCCGATGTTCATATATCTAAAAATAGTACCACGATATTTACATAACGAACGCGAGAAACCTAAAAGAAAAGTGATACTTGAATGGCAGCATTCCACATAACTTTTAAAATTTGTTATTCACAGTTTCATGAAAATCCTCTGAGGCTATATGCCAATATGAAAAATGTGAATGTTATATTTCATTGTTTTGTAGATTGTTTTTGGTAAAGGTGTAGGAGGTATACATTTCATTACAGAAGGTTGAGAACGATCATGAGTTAAGGTGTGTAGACAGATGATCGTTCTAATAGTCAATGTGTAAATAGCATATGACTCAACTCCGGAACCGATTTGAAATTATCCAATAGCAGTAATATACACGCAAAAACCGTCCATTTTAGTCAACCTTTGAGCCTTGTTACCAATATTTTCCCCTCAGCGATTGCTTTCAGCAAAAATGGCCAACTGCTTTATGTCGATACCACAATTTGAAATGTATATTGGTTAATTTCTGTTTTGAACGAGATGTTTTACCTGTTCGTATGAATGTAAGGGAGTGAGAGCGACAGTTTGTTCGATAATCTGTGATCCTCGGACTATATTTATAAGGCCAAAATAAAAAATACCTTTGTTTCCCCTAACGCGACCGACTCAATTAAATCACGCCGACTGAAAAGATTTTTTAAATAAGATAATTTAAAAATTATTTTTATTGTTAACAAGTTTTATAAAATACAATTTCATCAAAATCAGTTTTTATAAGAACGGCCGACATTGTTCTACTGTGATTTTCAAGTATTTGTTTGAAACAAAATGGCACCCATATATGATTACAGAGAATTAGTTCTTCAAAAAACAATGAGGACGCCTCAGTCTTATGCCTTTGGCTAATTAGAATTCTTCACTCTTGAAACTCTTAAGGTACGTAATACATGGTAAGGCCCACGTCATAAGCAGATGAGGGGCCCACCTAGTGAACACATCATTCAATTTCACTGCATTTTATACTTAATTTGAGTTCTGATCCAATAACCAGTTCATATATGTTCCTTTGTTTACTATATATGTCATTATGGAACCATAAGAGTTGTTGTAAATATGTCTGCATATTCATCCTAATAAATATAATTCAGATGTCCTTAAATTTCTTCCTGTCTTTATGTATGGGTTAAACTTCGTGACTATGACATTGTATATAGCATTTTTTATCATTTGTAGATTCGGGTTGGTTCAATTAAATATTGTTTACATATTCTTTCCAAATAGTTTTGAAATCATGATTCAGCTTCCTGAGACGTCCAGTGTATTTTTGTTCAATTAGGCCCTTGAAGATTGGTTGTTTCTATGCTTTTAATCCCTTCGAGATTTGTTGGGACGACATTTGAACATTTCCCCATTGTTCCAAATTTAGAGGTACTCAGCACTTTTTTGCCATTAAGCAGTGGAGGATCTTTTTTGAGCCAGCATCTTCTGCGACATTGGACATATGTTTTATGGTTCCTTTTGAAAGACCGTATTCAACGTTCCTCATTGGGATTTGAACCTGCAACCTAAAATTAGCTACTTACATCTTAACTCCAAAGCAAAATGCTCTCGAACCACTGCAAATCTCATGGCCCTAAAAAAGGTACATTGATTGTCTATAAGCACTAGAGGCTGATGGAAGGTTTGAAAAAATACACGCGGATGTCCGGTCTTTGCTATTTTAGAAACTTTTTTTATTCGATTTATGTAAATGTACTCTGGCGTGAGATATTTCACAATCCAACTGAACATATAACAGTTTTGAATTTTAAAATAAATCATGAATTTTGCTTTTAAACGGCATATGTATAATACTTAGCATTTTGTTTACAAAACGCTTTCTTTTGTACTTTTCTTATTTATAAAGGTAACTTTCCATTAAGTTTTAGAATGTATTTTCATTGATGCTGTCAGAAGAAAATTCTTTACCTACCTACCGACCCAACTTGAAAATTTAGGGTCGGGTTAGGGGAAACAAAGATATTTTTAATTCCGGCCTAAGAAAATATATTTTTATTGCCATGTGAAGGTATACATTAATCATTGCCGATATAAGGGGGATACTCTTCAGTATTCAGAAACATACTAAGGTATTACTTGATATTTTTCCACTATACATGTAAACAGAGAGTTGATTTAAACGATTCATCTATACATGTATGTATGTTATTTTTTAAATTAAAAAAACGCTACAAAAATCAATAAAAACTTGAAAAAACATTGATAGTTTTGTTTTAAACAATCCAGGACAGATAGAATTGTTGATTTTTCTTGCTCCAGTTTGCGCCTTGTCTGAAAAAGTCTTCAAGAAAAGGGTAATTCAATCAATACCCATGGGACCATGTATTGCAATTGTCATTCATGCATTGATAACATGGATATATGGAAGAAAACAAAAGTATAACAATTTCCCATTGGTTTCCTTTTATTAATCATTAGAATCTTGACCTTGGAGATTACCATTGCCATTCTAGCTCCTATCACATCCAAACATCTCCGTTTTGAGAAGGAATCTGAAGGTTTTTGTAATTATACAGTTAAGCAAATACCCCTAATTAAATTGATATGGATGGCATTTTTGACCGATTTGATGTTTATTTTTCTTATGCCATTGTAATCCAAAAATCGGTTAATTTCGCTTAGGATTAAGGTCACACTCGGACAATTTCCAGTTCCGAAAATCCAGGACATTGTTTAGTCAGTAATTGATTTACACGTAATTTACAGATAACATTAATGAGCAACTATGCTGCACTTTTTGCCAATCATCACTCTATATTAAAGCTGTAACACAGGAATGAGAATCATTGTTTAATGATCCAGAGAGATTTAATCTTCATAATTTTAAATTTATGTTTCTATCAATAATAGGATGGACGATTATATTTGCAAAAATAATATTTTAAAAATTCCAATTAAAAGTGCAGACTCATTGGAATCTACTTCAGTCGTGCCTTGGGATAACGGAGACACACACACGGAGTCCTGGCGTAACGCGCCATTAACAAAGAGAGCAGAGAGAGTTCAAATACATGTTAAAAGCTGATGAGTGCGTTTGTACTTCTGGTTAATTGAAAGTACTATACTCCAAATACTTTAACACATGACTTTTCTCCGAAACGGAAGACGGAGAACTCTTGTTTTGTCGGAAATCATTCCATGTATGATATAATTTTACTAAATACATGTTTCATATATTTATTTGATTAAATTTACTTATTTTGAATGAACAGATTAATAAATGGGTTAAAAAATTAGAAATGAATGGATAAGTTTGATACGTGACACGTACTCGTTTTCCTGTTTTTTTTTCTGAATGCAGTGCAAGTTTATGAAAATATACAATGATGAAGTACATCAAGAAAAAAGTTTTAAAAACCTTCGAGTACTAAATCAGTAAATGAGAGGTTAAATGTAGTAACTGTACTTGTGATACAGAGATAAAATCTATTCATTAGGGCGATAAACCTCACCTTGATATGATCCGGTAGCGCAATTTTTTTTTTTTTGCAAATTATTTTTGATGACACGACAGTTATAAATATATTTACGGGGTGCAGAGGGGCAAATTAGCAGTGGCATCTAAACAAGCCACAAGCCGCGCCAAACTTCCCAATCGTATCATCTCGGGCCTTTCCGTCAGAAGTCGGAAAACGTTTCTTCCACTAGTCGGAAGGGCCAGAGAAGTGCGATTGGGTTTTCCATGTACTTCCGGTTACCGTGTAACGAAGAATTTTGACTCGAGTTGAAAATTGCCGATGGTCTTTTTTCAGCGTTAAATTTGAGACCAAAGGTGTTGAATTAAGACCCTCAAGTCCGTTGAAATAAAGCAGGATCGTTTTTTTTATCATGAGCGTGGTCATAATGCAACAGCATGAAACACATAATATTGTTGCCCATTGGACCAATATGTCACTTTTAATATATATATATGTACAATATTTCCCTATAGCGCGCATGACATTAATTTGATTGGTATGAATATTTTTGTCTTACTGAAAAACATAAAATTGTAGTTTTAAGTCATATCATTCGTTAGTTTCAATAGATGACTTCAAACTTCATAAAAATCCTTACAAAGAAAGATACTTAGAGGGTTCCAGTAAATGTTCAACAAAGCCTCTTTCTTTACTCCTCACTAAGATATTAACAGTAGTGAAGGAGAAATGTCAAAGTAATGTTCATCAATATATTCGAGAAGTTGTGTAAATCAGATGCAGATACTTAAAAATTCCAAGGGACTTTTGGAAAATTTGAAATCACAAAATTTTACCAAAATCAACAGCTCAATAACTTTCGAATTTTTCAACTTTATGTACAATCATTACCCACGATAAATTCAAGTCCAGGCCTGGGGGCCATAAAACTTAGACGAGCTCACTTTTGATCTCAGTCTCACTTTTACCAAAGGATTATATAGCAGAAAATGAGACTGAGATTAAAAGTGAGCTAGTCTAAGTTTTATGGCCCCCAGGCCAGGCGATTTGTTAGCTGCTTTTTCAATCAACATGGAACTCGTAAATTGTCTTACCTTGTCATTGGTCATTTTGCAAAATTATTTTCTCAAAAACATGCTGATTGTACACACAAGTACCCTGAAGTTGACATCAAAAAGATGCTTGAGTTTCTGATTGACAATATCTATGTGGTTTTTAGAGACTAGGTCTTCCAACTATCAATTTGAATTCCCAAGTTACCAATTGCGGTCCGTTATTAGCAGATCTATTCTTGTATTCATATTAAGAAGAATTTGTAATCTTATACGTTAAAGGAGAAAACACTTGCTGTGGCCCTCAACTCGACATTCGATATATCGACGACGTATTATCAATTAACAATGGTTATATCCATTCTTGTGTCGATGCGATATATCCCCGTGACCTTGAGATGAAAGATAACACAGAGTAAATTGTTTCATATTTAGGTATTTTACTTGGAAAAAAACCGTTAATGGTAATCTAACAACCAAGCTCTATGAAAAATGTGATGACAAACTTTTCATACGTCAACTTTCTTTACTTCCTCAGCAATATGCCTTCATTACTTGTATACGGAGTTTATATATCTCAGTTCACTCGATACGCAAGAGCATGCTGTACGTATGAACAGTTTCTAAAACGAGGTTAGTTATTAACAAACAAGCTGATGAAACAAAAATATCGACAATATTGTTTAAAGTCATCATTTCGTAAGTTCTATGGTCAATACAAGGACTTGTCAGCAAATACAATTTATCATTGAGTCAAATGCTGATTGACGTTTTTCATACCAATTGTTAGTCCATTATTTAAACACTGAATTGCCGACGGATTTTTCCGTAATTTCCCTATCATGACGAGGAGCACACGGTGGGTGTGACCGGCAGGGGATGCTCATTCCTCCATGGCAACTGATCCCACCTCTGCTGTTTTAGAGGTCCGTGTTTTCTCTGCTCCTATTTGTATTGTTTTATGGAATTTTGATCATGAATACTGTTCGTTATCCCCATATATTTCATGACATGTTCACTTAATAGGATATTTTTTAAAAAATATTATATACAAACAAGCTGCAAATATTCAGAATTGTGTCCTTTCATT